GATAGATAGATAGATAGATAGATAGATAGATAGATAGATAGATAGATGATAGATAGATAGATAGATAGAGATGTTTGGATTTTGTCTCCCACATTACACTGTAAGCTCTCGAGGACAGAGAATACTCTTCTGTCTTTCTTTGTAACCCCAGTGCTTAGCATAGTGCCTAGCACATGGTAAAAGCATAATACAGTCCATCCTCAAATTTGGGGGGGGGGGATAACATTCCTATAAAATGGTGCAAAGGTAAAAAATGCAAATATATATACATTGAATCTATGAGAAATAGGGGGTTAGGTTCCTGCAACCAACAAAAACCATAATCTTTCACTAAAAATCATTGAAAATAAATTTTTCTGCATACAATTCTTTATAACAAAACATTAATTTTGATAATATGCATTTTTCCTAGCACAGTAACCATGAGATAATCCATAAAATGCAGTACACAAAATAAAATTGGTACCATGCAAAACATTTTTCTCACTAGTGCTTCCTGAGAATTCTGTGACCTTTTGTGCTAGCACCTCAATCTTTTTTAAAAAACCACATTGATTTCAAACAATATTCATTGTTTATAACATGTGAAATCTATAGTACCATAAATACTATGGAACAAATAAAATTCTTAAAACTAAAACATTTTTAACCTGAATCTTACCTTCCACTATGTCAGATGGCAGGATGAGGGCATTATACTGTACACTAAACTGCTATTTTTAAAAGTTTCTTTTGGCATCTAACTCTGAGAGAGAAAAATTGAACTTTTGAACTCAAAGACAAAAAAGAGACTGCATGCAGGTTTATTACATGAGGCTGCAGAATAAAATAAAATATAACATACAGGATCAATAGTTGATTCTCATAGAATGAACTCTCCTGACAATTGGTAAGCTGTAAAATGTTTGGAGAACCAAACTCCCCAAACTCAGGAAGCATAAAGAGAAACCAGTCCTTAACCTAAAATTTAATTCTCTTATTCTGCATGAAGATACGGAAACAGTACCATGTGAAGGAAAAGGCAGTGGTGAGTAACTGGTCTTGATCCAACATTAGGTCATCAAGGGACCGAACAGTCAAGGGATACTGGTATCATTATTGAATTGTGACAGAGAAAACTGCCAGCCAACTCCCCATTAGGCAAGCTGTTAAAAACTTAGGATAAGGGAAAACTACCAATTCAACTGGGAATGTCCGAAACATGAGTGGCGAAGCTGAGCTCAGACTGAACTCAATACTTAGATAATGGCAGGGGAAAAATTTGGCCAGATAAACACAGGATCTTTGATTATTGTCAACTGTGTGTGCTAAAAAACGGAATTAAAGACCTAAAGCCTAGGCAAATGGATTATTGCTACTATTAGGCAGAACTTTCAAACCGAAACTGCCCCTTGTCCATTCGAGGCACCAATCCAAACTACTGGACCACCAGCATATGATTCAGAGTCCTCAGAACCAAATACCCCGTCATTCTTAAGAACCACTTTTGTAGGGAATAATCAGAGGAGAGTACGTGCCCCCTTTCCACCAGGAGACATTGTATTATGGCAGCAATCTACTCTACTCTTTCAGACAGACCCAGCCACCACCATTAAGAAAATTAAAACCATTACAAGGAGTCATAAATCCACTTGGAAAGATATTGACGAATTATTAGATGCCCTTCTCACAAAGGATAGGAAGGCGAAAATCCTGTCCCTTACTGTAAAGTAGAGGATAAACCTAACAGGACCACATGGCCCAGAACAGCTCCCAATTGGAACTATAATAATGAGGGGGACTGGGAAACATTCAGTGATGCAGAAATGACCCTCTATGATGCTCTAGAGCAGGCAGCACAATGAACAATAGATTGAGAAAATTCCGTAACACTATACAAAATTTAGATGAATATTCTCACGCTTTCTATATTTGTTTGTGTGCTGCCACCCAGAAATTTGCTCAGTTGGATCCAGAAAATGAACATGATCTAAAAGCAATTGCTTCAGCTTATGTTAATCAATAGGCAGCAGACATTTGCAATTACTTTCATAAATTCTGCCCCAGCTGGAGTGGAAAAACTACTAATGAACTCCAGAGAACTGTGTCATATGTGTTTGAAGGGTGGAAGGAGAAGGAACTTAGGAAGAGAAGGAAAGTAAGGTTACGGAAGTGAAGACCCTCTTGAGCCCCCTCCCCAACACTCACAGAGGGCCAGAACCTGAACTGACCACTTAGAACAGGACATTTTGGCTCACTCTGAAAGGGCATAGCAGTCATGCTTTTCGAATGAACCCGAAACTTTCCTGTTGGATTTAGCTGATGAGGAACATTCTTCTGTACGACTGAAGAAGACCAGGGACCTTGGACCAGTCATTTTCTTATCTTTCTGTGGCCCTCCCTTGTCAAAGGTACTATCTTCACATCTCCTATTTTATGACACCCTGTGTTTACGGTTAGCAGAAAGTCAGACATCCTGGGGCCACTCTATTTTTATGGAAACTATAATTTTGGCTAACAAAGAACATTAGTGTCCTGGGGATTACACCGTATTTCACCACATAACCAATGTCACTGCATAATCGTCGCACCCTGGTTTGTGGGGTTTGTTTGGCTTTTTTTTTTTTAGTCTCAAAATTGCTTTATAACCTTTCATTGCATAATTGTCACATAGTATAATTCTGTTTGTCATGCCGCTTAAAAGGTAAACAGAGAAGCAATGTGGCATATGGATACACATTTTCCTCTCATGCATTGCGAGCCAGGAGTCTAAAATTCTCAGCGCACAGGCATTGTCAGTATATTTCCAAAAGCTGATTTATGTGGTTTGTTCAGAGCGCTATAGTACTAACGGTCACTCGACAAAATGAAGAACCATAAGTGCAAAGGAAGTGGGTAAGCAGGCAAAACTGCCGTGAGTAAGTCACACGATACGATAAGACTTGCATCTTCCCAATTCCCAACGTATATTCACAAATATTCCCTTCATTCTAACCTTGCACTAAAGACAGTTTAGTAATAAATGATTTTTAAGTAATACCAGCACAATTTTTAAAGCTTCACATAATAGTCACGCTTCACTTTTTTGCAAAAAAAAAAAATTGGCATAAAATCTGTGACAATTATGCAGTGAAATACAGTATTTCATGGGTATAAAATTCTGACTACCTTGCATGCATGTTTTCCACTAGCTTAAAGGGATTAAACTATATTGTGAACCTGAAAGTTTGATTAAAGAAGTAACAGGCTAGGTGATATATAATTATATTGTTTATTCCCTTAAATTAGTGAACATGTACATGGAGTCAGAGTTTTAATTCTGACTGACTTAAGCAATTTGAAATAGACAATTTATATCCTTAGAGCAATCCTGACTCAGGATGTCTGTGTCACTCAAAAACAATAGCATGGGACAAAACAGGAAAATAATAAATGTTGGAGAAGATGTGGGAAAATTGGAACATTAATGCATTGTTGGTGGAGTTGTGAATTGATCTAACCATTCTGGAGAGCAATTTGGAACTATGCCCAAAGGACTATGAAAATGTGCATACCCTTTGACCCAGCAATAGCACTTCTAGGGCTATGTCCCAAAGAGATCATACAAATGGAAAAAGAATCCACATGTACAAAAATATTTATAGCAGCTCTTTCTGTGGTGGCCAAGAATTGGAAATTGAGGGGATGCCCATCAATTGGGGAATGGCTGAATAAGTTGTGGTAAATGAATATAATGGAATATTATTGTGCTATCAGAAATGATGAGCAAGCAGACTTCAGAAAAACCTGGAAAGACTTGTATGGACTGATGCTGAGTAAAGTGAGCAGAACCAGGAGAACATTGTACACAGTTACAGCCACGTTGTGCAATGACTAACTTTGATAGACTTAACTCTTTT